GGCCACGCTGAGGCCGCGTCCCACATACAGCAACTAGAAGGATGTGCAGCTATGACATACAACTATCTACTGGGGCTTTGGTGGAAAATAAATAAATAAATAAAATTATTTAAAAAAAAAAGGATAAAATGGAGGTTGGAGATGGATTGGGGGTGAGAATGCAGATAAAGCTACACGTTACTAGGAGTCTTGTTGATCGTGCAGTGGTCCCTCGATATCTGCAGGGGATTGGTTCCAGTACCCCCCCAGATCCCAAAATCTGCGGATGCTTAAGTCCCTTAAAATAAAGTGCTGTAGTATTTGCATATAACCTGTGCACATCCTCCCATATATTTTGTCATCTCTAGATTACTTATAATATGTAATACAATGTAAATGCTATGTAAATAGCTGTTGTACTGTATTGATTAGGGAATAATGGTAAGAAAAACATCTGTACAGCCACCTGCGGTTGGGTGAACCCGAGGTTGGGTGGATCTGCAGATGCGGAACCCGCAGGGCCAAATGTATTCAGCTCAGGGTCAAAAAAAATTTATCCTGATTCTTATAGCTCGAAAGGCTTACATTTCAAATTTTATAATTTCTGTCTTAATAATTAGATATCTCTTTTTAAAATGGGTCCTAGTTAAGTTACATTTATCAATATAAAGCAGGGCTGTCCAATAAAAATATAATGTGAGCCAAATGTGTAATTTTCTCGGCACATTAAAAAAAAGTACAAAAAAAGTGAATTTAATTTTAGTAATATATTTTATTTAATCTGATATATCAAACATGTTATTTTAATCTGTAAACAATATAGAAATTATTAATGAGATATTTTATATTCTTTTTTTTCCATTCTTTTTAGTCTTTGAAATCTGGGGTGTATTGTGCTTACCCTATATCTCCATCTGCACTGGCCGCATTTCAGGTGCTGGTCATCACACGGAGCTGGTAGCTACCGTATTGGACAGTGCAGATGTAGAGGTCGGACAGCTGGGGTTTTTGTCTTTTATCTGTCTTTTATCTGTCTTTTATCTTTTATCTGTTTATAGAGAGTGAAACTTCTTTAAAACTGATTGAGTTCTAGAAGTGGTCACATTACGTGACAATAAAAGCAGCAGTTTTACATTTATTAGGGCAGTTTGTTGAGGAGGGTTACTGATGCTATTATCTTCATTTATAAAGAGTAGGACCTTGCTGTTTTAAGTAAATGGACTTAGGAAATGTGTTTTGTTTTGTCTTAGTTTTTACTGAGATAAAAAATACTTTTATGTTCAGTAGTTTAACACACTTGTGGTTTTAATATCATGCTTTCTGTCTTCTATAGGAACTTCACGATGAATTGGCTCCTGTGTCAAGAATCCCTGCAGACACCATCTCAAGATTTTTTTTTGCGATTGACACAGTCATCTTTATTACCTTTCTATATTTTAGTGTTAATTATTTGTTTTCTTTCTATGATGCAAGTTATTTTTAGGAGAATGAAGTAAGTACTTATGAGAATCAATCACATTACTGATATATTATGAAAATATATAAAATACTTATTTTAATATCCTTCCAATATTCGTGTATTTATTTTAGAGCTTTTAATCCCATTCTCTCTTCATCAATATGTAAAATATCATTAGAAGTTAACCAGATAAAATTCAAATTTGTTTATACACCTAAATATGTAATGTCCAGTTTTAATTAAAAGTAATATTTAAATCATCAGTTAAACTTATACAGACTCATTCACTAATTTACTCAAATTTTTACTTTATGTAAGAATAATTTCTTCTATTTAATTTAAATGAAGCTAGTAGTATAAGTAATTTTAAATTATAAATTTGACTATTTTTAAGTATTTTTATCATATTTGAAAGGAGGTTGTATATAGTATGTTAATTTTGAGAACTTAGTTATTCAAATTATGATTTAATTATATTAATTTAGCCATCACTAGTTGAGTGATAATTGATCTTGGAAAAGAACCCTAAAAATCTTTTTCATTATATTTCCTGAACTTTCATATTTAGTCTTCATTGAGTCAGTTGTCTTTAGGTTCTAAAAGCTCTTTTCAAGGACTTAGAGATAGATAAGTTAGGTATTTGACTAGAAGAATATACTTTCAAAATTTTAAGAACCACCTATATTTCTTTTTATGAAGAAATTTGGGTTTTTCAAATATGTATATTTGAAGTGGTAAAAAACACATTTTCTTTCTGTAGTGGTAAGTCCCTGAAAGAAACTGTTACTCTTGAAGATGGACAAATTGGAGAAAGGCCAGAAATAATTTATCACGTGATTCACACTATTTTATTGGGCTCTCTTGCAATGGTTATAGAAGGGTGAGTGTACTCTATCTGATCCATTTGTCTTTGTAAAGAATTGTCTTTTCGATTGGTATTAAGTGGAAACTTTCAAGAATACATTTATTAAAAACTCAAAATATGCTTTATAAAAACTCAAAATCTACAAACTTTCTTAATCTAATTGAAGTTTACAAAGATGTTTATAGTACAATGAACTGACATTTACTTATTCATTCATTTGTCCAGAAACTATTGAATGTCTTCCAAGGGCCAGGCATTATGCTAGGTGCTACCCTGGTGAACAAAAGTGGACACACAGTCTCTAACCTTATATGACTTATGGCCTAATGGAGGTGACAGATATTAACCACACAAAAATAAAATTACAACTTTGACAAGTGAAGGAGAGGTAAATGGTGCTGTGAATAAGGGTTCGATAAATGATACCCTTTTCTTTGAAGTTTGGACTCAGATGAGAAATAAGACATAGGAGTAAGTCAGCTGGAGAGGAAAATAACAACTTTGAGTTCTGATAAAAGTTGCATTGGAGAACACTTCTTCATGTGTGACCAAAAGGGCTTCTTATGTCTTTCACCCTGGAGTGAGCTTAGTCCTCACTCCTCGGGCCTTCCCTCTTGAATGGGCAGAGCGTTGGTAAGCCTATTGCACCTGTATACACCCACCCTGCAGAAGGAAGATACACAGTATAGTAGCTTAGAAGCGTTTGAGTCGTGAGTGCTCAATTCTTTACCTCACACTCACAGATCACATAAATCACTGCCATAAGGTTCTGAAGTAGAGGGATGGGAGTGGCATTAGGAAGAGGTGAAGAATATTGATCTAGTATAAAATTTCTTAAGTTAAATTTCCTTTCATTATGAATATAGATACTGAATCACAGTAATTTTAGCAGTTCCTGTGATGCTTTCCCCAACAGAAAGCATAGCTGTTTTCTCGTATTAATTTTTTACAGATCTCTTGAAGTATTGTTTATACACATCACTACTTCGAAATTACAGTCATTATTAGACTTGCATCTAATGTATTACAAATTTATTTTTATTATTTGGTATCAATATTTCAATATAATTGGTTTCCTTTGTAAGCCCATGTATTTTATTTTATGCATTTAAAAATGTTTTCTTATGAGGGATCCATAGATTTTATCAGACTGCAAAACACATGACTAGTGGGAATCTCCTTATGGAAACATGAAACACGAATAGTAGTTCAGTCTAGCAGTTAGCATTCCATAATGCCTCATAAGTAGGATGAAGAAATGTATTAAACCATGAAAATTTTAAGTGATTCATGTTTTGAGTCTCATCTTGTTGCCTTGTACTAGTGGAATTTTGGAACATGGTTTACCTTTTTTCCTCTTTACTCTCTCAGTTTTATTTCTCTCTGCAAAAGAACCTTTTGTTATTCCCACCATTTTTAATGATTGGATCTGCCATTTTAAATTCAGGATCCTTTTTTTGAATGTCTAATCTGCATTATTCTATCATTTGTCCTTAATTCTTTAATTTACTCACTAGGCCTATAAAAGCATCATCACCTATTCATGCAAATAAGATACATGGTTGCCTCGTAGATTCCAGGCAGTCGACTAGGTAGGCAGTAGGGATTAAAGAGATATAAAATCTGTCTTTCTTTTCAAAGAGTTCCTATTCTAGATAAGTAAATCCAAGAGTTTTTGCAAACTAAAGTACTATGAGAGAGGTATACATAGGGTGCTTTGGTCACCCAAAAGAGAGGTACTGACTCAGTTGCAGAGGGTCAGTGGGGGAAGTCAGTTTAAGGAAGATTTCCTAAATGGGGTGACAGTCTTGAGAGATAAATAGAGATTGGCCAGGCTGTCATATTTCTTGTGTGCCTCTGTGTGTGTGTGTGTGTGTGTGTGTGTGTGTGTGTGTGTGAAATATGTCTGGAAAAATAAGCAGGGACCAAAGCAGGTGTTTTAAGCAGAAATTTGACGTGATCAGATATGCTTTTTAGTAAGATCTCTCTGGCATCAATGGTAGAGAAAGGTTTGAGAAAAATAAGATTAGAGGAAGATAAACCAGTTAAAGTGTAACGATAGAATCTAGAAGCGAGGAGCAATGGAGATAGAGGAAAGGGGCCAAAACTAAAATTTTGGGACACTGGAACTGAATAAGTGGTAGTAGGGACTGTGGTGGAGGGACCCGAGGAAGGGTTGTAACTCAGAAGCCAAAGGAGGAATTTTTTTTTTCATTGATGTCATAATAGTTTATAACATTGTGAACTTTTAGTTGTACATTATTGTTTGTCAGTCACCATATAAATGTGCCCCTTTACCCCCTGTGCCCACCCCCCAACCCCCTTCCCCCTGGTAACCACCAAACTGTTCTATCTGTCCATGTGTTAGTTTATCTTCCACATATGAGTGAAATCATGCCCTGTTTATCTTTCTCTGTCTGGCTTATTTCACTTAACATAATACCCTCCAGGTCCATCCATGTTGTTGCAAATGGAACAATTTTGTCTTTTTTTATGGCTGAGTGGTATTCCATTGTATATATATACCACATCTTCTTCATCCAATTATCAGTCGAGGGACACTTGGGTTGCTTCCACTTCTTGGCTATAGTGAATAATGCTGCAGTGAACATAGGGGTGCATAAGCCTCTTTGGATTGTTGATTTCAGGTTCTTTGGATAGATTCCCAGTAGTGGGATAGCTGGATCATAAGGTATTTCTGTTTTTAATTTTTTGAGGAATCTCC